CACACACACACACACACACACACACACACAAAGGGCACTGTTGACAAAAGGAGAAAGGACAAAGGAGCGGTGCGAGTATAATTTCTTTATTATTAACTTTTCTTTTGGTGTAGACATATTCCCTCTTTCATGTATGCATACATAAAGGAAGGTTCCCTAAAAAGGATTTATGGAAAAGAGTAGAAATTTCTGAAAGTAAATAAAGAGGGAAAAAAGAGAAGGAAAGCAAAAGAAGGGGAAACTCCCGGGCTTGGCGCGTAAAGACAAGTGAGACGATACACCGAGACTGTAGTGGGTGTGCAAGCAGTAGTACGAGCTTGTGCCATCGGAAGAGACCGGGCTTTTAAAGGCATGGAAAGAGAGTGAGTCGTCTGGGAAGGAGGGAGGGAAAATAATGGAGGTCACATCACAAGCCAAAGGGGTTTTTGGATGCGTTTTGGTGCTCACAATGATTGGGTGGATTGGTCCTTATTACTATTAACACATGCTGCCAGACATGCTAAATTATCAGCTGATGAGTAGAGTGATGGGTTTGACCTTAGAAATGCATATTGTACAACGCCAAACCATTAATGTTTCTATGGCCATAGTATGAAACGTCCCCCTCTCCCTCCATAAGCCATTTCTAGCCCCCTTGTTGGCGCCGCCGCCGGTTCGTCCTCCCTCCGACGGACCTTTCACTCAAGCAGTGCGTTTAGTGCCGACGGAGGGTGTGTGGAGGTGTCTCCAACAATATTCTTGAATCCGGTCGGCATTGATCTTCAGTGATGCTGCTTGGATCCGATGGACATCTCTCTTAGACGGGTTCGTCTGTGCTATTTTGCCATGACTTATTGATTTTGTACGACAAATATATGATTTTATTAGCTTTGCGCTATGTTTAATTACTAACCATTTTTAAAAAATCATCACATCATCTAACAAGTATGTATTCGATAGAGAAAAGAGGAAAAGAAGTACACGAGTTGATAAATCGCATAGTAAATATATTGTTAGATTCCTTAAGACCAATTTCTTCATTGAGAATGAATTGTTAGATGATATTAGTATTGATACCATCGTCATCGTCTTTTGCATTTTAGAATGTTATAAGAAAATTTTAGCGTAATAAGTATACATTAATTTATCCACATATCGCATCTGAATATTACATATATGGCTTGTTATTTTGACCTTTATAATGAGGCGCCCCAAGTTTCAGGTTCGCCCGAACCACCAAAACCCGAGGACCGGCCATGGACATTTGTTGCTGTGGGAGATTCATTGTTCTGCACCTCTTCAATGTAGATTAACACTCCCCCGGGAATGTGATCTTCATATTACATCTTTGTCTTCATCACTTTCGGTTGTTTCTAAACCTAACTTTATGAGTTGTTATTACTTGTTTAATTAGTTGTCGTGTGTAGCTTGTTATCTTGTTGTAGATCTTCATATAGGGTGTATCATCAAGTTGCATATCTAGAGATACATTTTTGCAGTAGTCTCTAAAAGCAGCTAAGAAAATTTTAAATCTGGTAGTCGCTTGTTCACCCCTGTTTAGCCGACATTTAGCACATCTTTGGGTATTCAGGATACACGTGTGTGCGTCCTTGATGTCTACACTAGCCGTTGGTATCATATTGTTCCAAAGATCATGTGTATTTAGTATCAACTTTAAAAACTTGTTCCATACGGACATTTTAAACCTAAGCTTTTCTATTTGAAGCAACAGGAGGAACAAGACCTTCCCCTCTCTCTCTCTCTCACCTCGGCAACATCTCATTTCCATAGCCCCTCTCTCCTTAGTATATCTCATTCACCTAACCTACATTGCGCATCTTAAGTTCAAAAAAGGGTATGCCAAGATTTGCGAATCATAATGGGGTACGACAATCGATGAAATCTAGCTGAGATCAGGCAGGATAGAAGATTCACGACAACTACTAAGCCCGGGTGTGTTGACTCGGAGGATCTCGCGTTGTCGCCGCTTAGCCCGCCCTCCACCCTCCCATCTCGCAATCACCAGCGACCAACCATAGGAGAAGTTTGCGCGGGTGCCTAAGTAGATGGCAGCGGGGTGCTCCGCCCCACGGATGGCGGGGTTTCTTCTCGTCTGGAGGCCTTCTCTTTGTTGCACAACACAATGGTTGGCGATTTCCCTGACTGCCTCTCCTGCGGCGAGCAACCTCTCCCAAGCAAGCCTCAACACGATCGACTTTGGCTTGCCTTCTGCTCCATCAGTTGCTAGATATATCCGCTTATGGCCTGCCCCGTGGGTGGTGCGACAACCAACTCTGGATTTTGTACCAAGAGAAGTGGAGGCATCAAGTCATACGATATGGCCTCCACCGGTTACTCGGGG